CACATATGTGACGATAAAGTTAAATACACAAGATATAAAGTGAGCATTTTTATAAAATATATATTTCATGAATTAATTTTGTTGTTTTGTTTTGTTTTTAGTTTTGAGCTAAACAATTTGTTTTTTATTTGCTTTAGACTGAGCAAAGCTCATATACTAGTCTGTGGAATTACTGGAACTATTGCTGAGGTAATTCAACGAAATTCAACACCTTTATCTATTTTCTTTTTTATTGGTGGTGATAGCATGTGTTAGAATCTTAAGGTGCATTCATGTTCACGCTTGTTGCACTTTTTCTTTGGGTAGTTTTGCAAGAATATTGTACTAGCCGGAGTTGGTAGTTTGACACTGGTTGATGATCGGGCTGTGACCGAAGAAGCGCTTTCTGCCAACTTTCTGATACCTTCTGATGAAAATGTGTGTGCCGGGAAAACTCTAACTGAACTTTGTCGCGATTCTCTGAAAGATTTCAATCCGATGGTTCGTGTTTCTGTAGAAAAAGGTCTGGCCTCTAGTGCTACTAATTTCCAATATTATTGGTTCACCATTTTTACTATTAAGCTTAACATCATTTTTGAGTTGCATAGTTTCTATATCAAATCTGGTGTTGATGGTTATAATATTTTATGGCACTAAAGACAGGCTAGTTAAACAATGCTTTCTAATTTCTGGTCTAAGTTAAGTGAGAAGAGAAAGAAACTAAGAATATACCTCATTTTGATCTCACAGGTGATTTGTCAAGCTTCGGAGCAGAGTTCTACAGTAAGTTTGATGTCGTCGTTGTCAGTTGTTGCTCCTTCACAACTAAAGTACCGTGCATACCCTTCCTCTTTGATGTTTAATTTTAAACTTTTAAAACATCCATTTTTGATGAGTTCCATTTCCTTTCTCATTATTTTGCAGAAATTGATAAATGAAAAATGCCGAAAGTTATCGAAGCGTGTGGCATTTTATACAGTTGACTGTAGAGACTCTTGTGGTGAAATATTTGTTGATCTGCAACACCACAAATACTCGAAGGTGAAGATCTTATTTGATTTCGCACTCTTTCTAATATCATTGTTTTCAGTTGACCAGTTTCTTTGTTCATTTTATGGATGATGCACTAATGACCGTCATTGCTAGAACTGTAAGAAGGTTTTCAGTGAAGTGCTATTGGTTTGCACATACACTAGACTGGTTATGAAATTTTAGATTGCATGTACATTGAGAAGTATAGCCTTTAAGCATCTTCAGCAAAAATGCTGTAATGACAATAGCATGAATGATTTTCTTGTTTTTCTTGACAGCAAAAACGGGAGGAAGCAATCGAATGCGAACTACATTATCTAAGTTTTGAGGTACGACTTGGTCTGTCATTGCTCTTCCTTACGATGTATTAGGTTTCAGATCATTCTCATGCTAACCCTCCCAAGACCTTTTTCCAATTGCTGATGCTTGTTTATGCCTTTTTCTGGGTGACAATTAAATATAAGACCACCTTGATCAAATTAAGACCACAAGATTATATTTTCATATGGTAAACCATTCTTCATACAACAAGCATTTAGGGCTACCATCTGTCTTTTCTCTTGCACTGAGGTCTCATGTGGAATTTATTTTTTGCTATTTTTTTTTTTCTCATATTGTTATAATTTATATATATATATAGAAATTGTGTTGTAATGGATCACATTTACGTTTAACTTACTAATGATGAAGTGTGTTTTGCATCTTACATTACAGGAATCAATTTCAGTACCTTGGAAAGCACTTCCCAGGAAATTCTCAAAACTATACTTTGCTATGCGAGGTGTGGTAAATTATTTTCATTGTTATTTTAATTTGTTTTGAAAGAAGTAGTTAAAAATAAATTTAGCAATAGATTAAAGAAGAAGATGAGAAAGCTAATGCCGTTACTAAAGGAGATACGAGAGTACTTCCCAGGAATGTGTCAAAGCTATACTTTGCTATGTGAGAAGTGATGAACTATTGCCATTACAAAAAGAAGAATTATAATTACCAAACTAGTAAAGAAGAAGAGGATTAAATTGGAACTCGAAGAGAAGGCTAATGCTTTTACTAAAGGGGGTGTACATATCATTTTCATACCACCAGAATGCATATTGATGCTTTCTTTCTAGTCTAATAGTCGTGCTGCAATTCTACTACACCTTGAATGAATTGATGGTTACCATCTATTTATAACCTTAAACTCTATAAATCTTGTATGAATTGGTTACCATCCATTTATTGTTAAAATAAATTGATCAGGATTATCCCCACTTTCTTGCAGTAATAGAAAGGTTTGAAGAAGCTGAGCAACGTAAACCTGGAGAATTATCAATTGCAGATCTTCCTGCTGTTGTGAAGTTGAAAAAGGAGCTCTGTGAGGCACAGGTATGCTACTTAAAACTTGTTATTGTTTGTGTACTTGAAACTTGTTACTGTTTTTGTGTTCTGCATCTTCCTAAGCTTGCTATTGTAACAAAATTGCAGTCATTGAACGAATCTCATATCCCAAATGTCCTCCTCGAAAGACTGGTGACTGATACAAGAGAATTTCCTCCAGTTTGTCCCATCATTGGGGGGATTCTCGGACAGGTGCGCTACCTATCCATTTTCTTTATTGTATATAAAGAAATGTTTATTTGTCAAAATAAAATTATAGTGAAAATGCTAGTTACCACATATTGACATTTTCTTGACGTGTTGGTATTAAACTTCTCAGGAGGTCATTAAGGCAATATCAGGCAAAGGAGACCCTCTCAAGAATTTCTTCTTCTTCAATGCTATGGATGGAAAGGGCATAATAGAGGACGTATCAGGGAAGACTTGAAGCTGAGCAGTCTTGCAGAGGGAAACTTAAATAGATCGAAGGGCTAGGAAAGTAGGAGATGTCCTAACTGCCGTACAGGGATTTCAGGTTGTTGGTGATAGATTTTTAAGAGAGTTGACCCCTTTTCATGGATACTAATCTTTGCTTGTAGTGTAGCTTCAAAAAATTCTACCTCTCCTTTTGTGCTTGAGTTTTTGCAGTATTGTTAAATGAATCATAAATTGTAACATCCAGTGGATGGTCATGTGTTAAACAAGTTCAATCAAAACCATGGCTAAAACTTGAACTTTTTATTCATTTGTTTAAATCGAAATATGACATCATATTGGTTGGTCCACACCCAACGGGAGCGTAGCCTTGTACCTTTCCTTGGGGAAAAGTATTGTTTGTGGTCATCAGGTCATGGGTGGTGGTGGGGGAGCAATCAATTTTGTCTGATAAAGTCCAAGGAGGAAAGGGGATGAAAAGTACAATATCACTATAGCTGCATAGACTCTGCACTGCGGCCCTAAATTCAATGAGCATAATAGTAATTATCAGTTCTCTCTGGGACATGATTTTTTTAAGGATCATGATTATCATAAGAAAAAAATGACGACGATCGTGGACGAATTTTAGTTGTAGTTTTTATGTTCTTAGTGTGAGATTGTGATGAATTTCCCCAAATTGGAGGAAATAAAGAAAATGTTTTAAAAATGGTAAGGAAAAAGCATTATAATTCTCCAGTAAAAAGGATTCTCTCTTTTTTAGATTAATCAGTAAAGTAAGTAAAAGCAAAAAAGAGAAAAAGAAACAGAAAATAGAAAGAAATCGGATCCTAAGAACAGAAAAAGAAACCAGTAGGGTAGCTTAACAAAGGTTATACTTATCTAATTTGCTACTATAATCTGATTAGTGATTCAATGGCCCGGATTAATTCTTCCTAATACACAGAATCATAGGACAGTCTCCTACTTCATCCCAATTACACCAAGGATGAAAATCCACAGAAATGATGATGAGAACGTGGGTAGTTCTTTCTTATCCAAGTGCAAGTCATTTTGACTGTCTTCGAAAATCAAAATTAACCCACCAAATTATCTGATACAGATTACCCTTCATTCAAATTCAATAAAAAAGATTCAAAAAACAAGCAAACCACAATTTCACAGGGACCCTACCATGAAAATCCAAAAGGGAAAAGAGCGCCCTACCATGAAAACTCACCAAGTAGAAGAAGAAAGAGAAAGTGTGACCAAACTGCAGAAGCAGTTCATGATCTTGCAGCAAGACTGGGATTCATACAAACAGTCTAACCCAAGAGCCAAGAGGAGGCATTCAACCAACTCATCAAGTTTCACCATGGTGAAAAATCTTGATCAGCTCCTTGACACTTCTCCAAGGCACCTCATGTCTTCACTTCAACATGGACTGTCACCTTCCCAAGGAGAATGGCCAGTGAGGACCAATGATTTGGTGGAGGAGATTAGGAGAGAGAGAAGGGCAGCCATTGAGAGTGGTAAGTTGAAGGGAAGGAGGCTTTTTGAGGCAGAGGAATGTGAAACAGAGATGGGTTTTGGAGGAACAGAAGGGATATGGTGTGGTGGGAATGGGTTGGCGCAAGAGAGAGAGGTGAGATCAGTATCTTTTGATGATTCTGATGCTGATGATGATTATGGCTCTGGTAAGAGCAAAGAGATTGCAGTTTGCTTTCAGGGTTGTTATAAAACTTCTTCATCTTCATCTTCTTCTTTGTCTGATGAGGATGTGGAGAGAGAGGTGGAGATAGAGGCAAGAATGAAATTGGTGAGTGTGGAAGAGAAAAGGGTTGATAACAAATATGAAGGTGGTAATGGAAGAAGGTGCACTGCTGTGATCATGCCTTGGCTTGCCATTGCTTTACTTGTATCTGCAATTTTCTTTATCAGAGGTTTTGCTGGATATCCAAAAGTAGATGAGGTGGTTCTAGTCCCAACATGATATGCCTCATTCATCTTGGTTAGTTATTGCTTTTTTGCTTCATCCTCTTCTCCGTGGAGCTTGATGAACCAATCTTCTTTTTCTTTTTTTCCTTCTCAATTTTATGAGTGAAGTTTTGATAATCTTTTTGAAGAACAGAGAACCCTTTAGTGGTGGTTGGAGTGTTATCTATCTATGTATGTGTAGAGATACTTACTCATATTCACAATCCAGAAAATGGTAGTTTTCCAAAGCAGTGACTCAGCAGATTTATCTTATAATAGTAATAAAAAGCATATGTAGAAACATGAAAGCAAGGAGGAAATAAAATTTTCTAGAAACTATCCAAAAGAGGATGCATGTAAGACAAGCGTATAAGATTTGTCTTCCCATTTTGATTAGCAGATCGTTGCCTGATAGCATGACTTGTATTTTGCATATCAAGCAAATTTGCACAGCATAGCATCAAAAACCATTTGCCTATGAAGACCCTCCAACCCTATGTGACATGGTGGCAATATTGCCTGCTTTATTAGGCATTATATGTTTGTAAATGTCTCAGTATCTGGTCAAAGTTTTCTGCGGAAGTTTCATCAGTGGGATGTGAATGGATTCCTTCATATGTCGTCACAACAATCTCTTCATCTTTCGAAAGGCGTTGGACTTGCTTTTTGACAACGCACCCTTGATGCGTGCACCTATAGTAGCTTCTGCATCAAATAGTCAAAAAACCAATTTACTAGAACGAGCAAGATGACGAAGGCATTGCAGAAACAGAAGGAAATTTCAAGCATTAGGCGAAGCATGGAACTAGACGAATACGAAGTTACAGAGCAGATATGAGCAATCAAGTGTTTTAGTGCATTTTTTCAGAAGACTATCTTAGGTATAAACTTTGCAAATCTAATAATTAATTGCTGGCAGTTTTCTAACAGTGTTTGATTTTGAAATAGAAAACTTCCATTTTGATCCCCATTCTTAGCACTTGAACTGAGAACCAATATATCAAAACTTCATCACAAGAATCCAAAACTTCTTGGCCTTTATTGGGGTTTTCTCTCTTGGTTCATTGTGTGTTTCACAGAAGATTCATTGCAAAATAAAATCAGAACTGTAAAAGGTAGCTATAGGTGATAGATTCGACAAACGAGCCAGAAATTTGACAAAGTTCAATATAGACAGATCAAAGGAGAATCATGATAACTTCCAGGTGACAGATCAAAGAGCTTTTCTATATCTATTGTTTACTAGTCAATGAAGATCTTCTATCAAATGGGTGGTTGGTGTTCTTTTTCCAGGGTTTAAGTAGTTGATAAGTGAACCCTTTTGCTTTCTATCAAAGGCATGCATATAAATATAGATATAATGGTGGTTTAGTCTATGTGATTATTGTGATAAGATGTTCAAACATACCCAAATTAGATCAAAGATCAATACCATAAATTCACAAGAAAACTATTTGATGAGAGCCAGCAGAACTAACCTAGGAAATTTACTGTTTTTAACTGTTTTTTGCCCGTATTTTCGCCATCGGTACCCATCATCAAGTATATCAACCTGGCTCCTTGTTTGAAATGCATATTTGTGCTTCTTGGTCTCTTTGCCACCTTCTTTCTTGCCGGATTTCATCTTGTCCACTGAACCATAAGAGGTTCCACAATGCTGATAAATTTTTGCTTCATTCTTCATTAGACCTGCGCTGTCAAAGTGAAAACGAGGAAACACTTGAGAAATATTTGATGGGTTTGATGGAAGATTAGGAGAAGCTGAATCAGATGATTTTGGTAAAGCCAGGAAAAGTATTTGGTTGTGCTCCATCTCTAATATGAGGGATGTGAATTATGACTAAGAAGTGTACCACACGTATTTATCGCGAGGGACCAATGAAGGCGGCTTATGAATCTTGTGAAAATGTGAAACATGTAGAAAAATGTGGGCGGCTGTAGTGGCCAAACGTCCAATTTCACTAGCTACGAAGAAAAAATTGACAGCGGCTGCTCCAAATGAGAAGATCCTACCTGTAAAGAAAACTCGTGTCGGCACGTATACGAAATTGAGGACGTTACCGTCACATGAAATAATTATCTTTTACTCTTTGTCAAAGTGACCAAGGAAAATGAATATTCTGTTTCTGTTCATCAAACACCTCAATCACCCTCAACCTAGAGTCATCTTATGTATAGCGACCTTGTATCGTAGATAGAATTTAAATTCAATTAATAATACAGAAAGCTAAAAGTCCATAAATTCTTAAGAGAATAGAAGGAAGAGAAAATTATAACATATTACATATGCAAGGGCCAAATTGGCTTTAAATTTAGAGGAGGGCTCATGGCCTTAGTTTTTCATGGCAACATTTGGATGAGCCAGAGTTGCAGTTTGTGCTGGTGGTGGTGGGTTGAGCTCATTCCAGGCTTCAATCCAAGTAACCATGGCATCCCCAAGCTTCTCAAAGTAAGGATCAATAAGGCCAAGCCTTTCCTTGACCTTGTTGGCAAGCTCAATGTAGCAATCTTGGACACTTGTGCACTCTTCTCGGAGCGCGATTGATTGGAAAAATGGAATGATGTCTTCCTGCCAGTATATGCCCTTGTACTCTTTCTTCAAATTTACAAATGGGTTGCTTGCCTTGCTGTGCCATATGTATGGCAGCCCTGTCTTCACCCCTAGCAACAAATGGTCACATATCACCTGAAAAAACAAAAAAAATGTCACTATCCGAGGTCTCATCTCATCTCATGTAGATTTAAATCATTAACTAATATAATCCGTCCAAATATGTGTCATTTTTAAGCTTCCCCAATTTCATAACCTAGCATCCTTGTCCATTGAATCCTAATACCTAGCTTGTTTATTAAAATGCATAAAATATTGACTTCTAAAGTGACACATCATTTGAAACTCAAATATTTGGTACGGAAGTTTGGTATCCTAGCATTATCGTAAAAATATAGGGAATAAAATAAGGGAGATTCACTGTTATACCCAATATAGGAGCCCAAATTATAAAAACATCATATATAAAATGGACTTTAGAAACACACTCAAAGCCCATTGACAACATAACAAAATGGCTTTTAACTTATTTTAAATTACAAAACTGTCATTGATTTCTTATAACAAATCCTATCTCAAAACCTCATAAAAAAGCTCAAAACACTCAATAGGGCATCAAAGTAATTTAATAATCAAAATTAAATTCAATAGGACTAGCTGTCATTTTTTGGATTTTTTTTTTGTTTGTTTATAGAAATTAAATGGTGTAGGATTTATTTATAGTTTTAGTGCTGAGAATAAGTATATGACTAAATATCTCATAAAATAATATGGAAAATTACCTTGGCACACCAGCCAGCCCACATATCATCGTATCTGCCAATGGGTTGGCCATCACCCATGAGCCCAAAATACATGGCTGGGCCTATCAGCTCCCTGTCAAAAGCTAAGTTCATCCCACACATTGGGAAAAGGGTTCCTTTGGGGATTGTCATCACAGCATTCACATACCTACATGAGCTAAAAAATCTCAATCCGAAATTATTTTAAGCACCCCAAAAATTAAAAATAAAAAAAAGAATGGAAGTTTTTCAAGGCATAGATATATAGAACATCATGGGTTATTATTGTAAATTTGTTACCTGGTGTTGCGCTCACGAGGCTTGACTAGCTGAGTTGGGGCATCATAGTCAGGGATATTGAGCCAAAGCCCATGAGAAATAGCAGTGGGCAGGCCTTCTCTTAAGCTAAATGGGTACCCTCGAACAAAGTCCGACCCGTTTGCAAAAGGGTCATAGAGTGTGTTGAAGAACAATGGAGTTGATGGTGTCAATAGGTTCCTGATGTGTTGTTCCAAAGCATTTATCTCTTTCCCACTAGGCTCCTTGGCCACCTTTAATTTTTCTCAACCAAAAAAAAAAAAAAAAAAAACGTTAATGCCATTGAGCACTCGCTAGAATCACGTAACGTATGTTAGTTACATGTATAACGACACATTATTTATTGAAGTGCGAACTGAAACATAAAGCAGGAAAGGCTTACAAAGCAATCGTCGTCGATGGTGAAGATGTACTTCTTCTTGGAGACCAAGAAACCGAAGCAGCGGCATGCAGAGTCTTTGAAAGATATGCAGCTGGCCTTGGGACCTAGGATCCTGTTCACATCGTTGCGGTTGTAGAGCTCGTAGTCAAAGCCCTCAGGGACCCCAATGGTGTTGGAGGGGTCACCATCTTGGACAATGATGAGGTGGTAGGGCTGAAAGAAAGGCCTCCACATCTCCAAGAAATCAAGGTTCCTGATTGTTGGGATCACAATGTCAAGCTCATCTTTCAGATCACGCAATTGAGCCATCTTTAGAGAGCTTGAGAAAAAAAGAGAGAGAGATTGATAGATTGGAACTTTATTAATGGAGGGGAATTTATATATAGTTGGGGAGAGAGGTATGAGGAGCGTAAGGTTTGGGTGGTATTAATTTATGTGTGTAACGAGGAAAAGGTGAATGAAATGAGTGAAGGTTACATTAAACTCTGCAACTAGCTGCAGAGGTAGGAGCGTTTTAGAATTGTGCTAGCTGTTCCACGTTTTGGGTTCTTTTGAGCACATATATTTTCCCGTGACAACACAAGTACATAAGTAAGTTATAAGAACTTTTTTTATTTTTATTTTATTTTTTATAGTACAAGCGATAGTCTAAATTAGAGGGAATGAGAATTTCTCACATACACACACAACTATGATGTCATGGGGGTTCGAACCTGAGATCTCTAGTATGCAAGTCAATGTCCTTTTCCACTGGGCTAGACCCCGTTGGTAAGTTATAAGAACTTATAACTAATAGGGTTAACATTTCGAGCTGACACGTGACAATCATGTATTGGAGAAGAGACTAGGATTAAGGGGATCTGCTAATTAATAATTTGGGTGTGATAAGCAAAAACTCATCAGTTCGAAGTATATGTACTATATCAGTAACATGAAGATCTATAAATGAAGTCCCATTAGTTTTATAATTGTGTGCAGAATGTGAAGTTTGCTTCACTTGAGGCTAAGTAAAGACTAATAAACAAAAGAAAAGGCAGGTTTGAATTACAAATGCCCAAATTTAAACTTATTTTTTGTGTTAGAGAAGGAAAGTGCACCCCCTCCTTAATTTCGACAGATGAAGTTCCTTGAGATACACATATGTAGGTAAATTAAATCAAGGTTCTGGTAATTAATCATATACAAAAAGAAAGATTGAGATTTGAAGTATATATGTGTATATGTAAATAGAAAACCTATTGAGCTTTTTTAGATTTACATGCGGGTAAGTTATTTCAGTGAAGCACATCAAAACACCCAAAAGTCAGCTGTTTGTTCCATCTCATTATTCTTTTGTTGGAGGCCAAAGGCCCAAACACATATAGCTAGCAAGAAATTAAAGTTTGCACCCATTTCATACAATGAGTCGGAAATGCAATAAGAGCATTTCCACCGGTTGGATTTGCCGGGGCAAAAGGCCTCCTGGCTCCAAATACACTCTCTAGCTATTAAATTCAGTCCGAATAGATGGTGGGCTAAATCAAGACTAGGCAGGCCCAAAAGCAAGAACAGCTAAAACTGTTGTCTGACACTTAAAAACATTTTGTGACTCGTATGTGAGTCTAAGAGCATTTCCACCGGTTGGATTTGCCGGGGCAAAAGGCCTCCTGGCTCCAAATACACTCTCCAGCTATTAAATTCAGTCCGAACAAATGGTGGGCTCAATCAAGACTAGGCAGGCCCAAAGGTAAGAACAAATAAAGCTGTTGTCTGACGCTTAAAAACATTTTGTGACTCGTATGTGAGTCAAATTCAATAACAAAATTGAAGCAAATATGAATTAGATCAGTTGAGTAAGTCAGTGTGTTTGTCATCTTGTTAAAAATAATCAACAAAATGAGAAGGAAAAAAAACAACTCCCCGGATCAAACCCATACATAAAATCACATAAACGAGGCAAAAATCAATAGAGTGATTAATAAGTTTTCAGGGCAAGAGAAATCCTAATACTAGGCAAGAAATCCTAGGCTAAGAAATTATCTTTTTTCATCGTACGTTTGTTATATATTCCAAGGATTTGCTGACAATTAATCGACAGTTCATGCATGGATGAACCGTGAAGGGGTCACATCTGATCTGATTCCCTTTCCTCTCTGAATAATCAAAAACAGTTTGTGCTTATGGGCATAAACAAAGGTTTTGTACAACAATGGTGCATGTTAAGTGGACCCTCTAAATTCATGCATGGAATTATCAAAATCGTACTATTTTAGGTTACGTTTTTCCCGTTTACCAAAAAAAAAAAAAAAAAAAAAAGAGGTCAGGCTTTTCTCAGATACAGTGACATATATATATATATTTGTTATGTTGGGAGTAAAGATAATTCCGGGATTTCGATCTTGGGTGTCAAGCATAAGGAGGAGGAGGCCCACAACCACTGTGGTACGTAACCCTGCATTGGCCTGTGACATATACTTTAACAAAGTCTCTATGCATAGTATAACTAATATGATTTGAATAAATCGTACGCTAATGTAATATAAAGTATTCTGTTAACAAATACGTATGTGACAAATAAACTTGTAATTTACAAATGACGATGAAAATAGAATAACTATATGAGGGCATATTATTACAAATTTAGATAATCGAAGAAGGCGCCAAAACAACTTCAAGCTGGTGGTTCTAGATCTGGACTCGTATTGTTCATGAGAACGACGAGTCGTTGAATTGTGGGTCAGTGCCATTTCTTGGGGGTCAATATGTAATAATACTATTGGGTCAAGTTTCAAGAACTAAGAAACACATGCATGCATGCTATCGTCCTATGCCCGAAAGTTTTTCTGGTGACGTGGAATTATTTTGGTGAACATTGATTACTTTTGTTTCTACGTGTCTAAAAGATAACAAGGCTTGGGACATGTCATTCCCACGTGGCATTCAGATGAAAGAACAAACAACAATAACTATTGGAAAAATAATTGAATTTGTTTGCGAGAAAGTGGCAGACCCTTCAGCTGAAGACGTATGCTGTGCTTATTTGAGGCAAGCTCACATGGGAAAACAATCCCGTTTCAACGGGAACATGGTGACGTGGTTTTCTGTATTGGATAGAGGAGTAGGCCCTCTCTGCCCCTCGTATACATTTTAATCGCGATTGAAAAGGAAAAGAGCACTAAGAGATTGTTATCTCCAAATCAATGGTTAAATGTTTTATAATTTGGTTGTTATTTTAGATATGATTTGTTAATAATAACTTGAACGAGCGCGGGTTTGAATCATTAAAATACAATGAAAAATAAATCATATAAAGGTGTCTCTCGAGTAAAATTATTACATGAATTGAAAAAATATTGTGAATATATATACGTTGATGCATGCCAGCCCTGGTATAGGTATGGAGATTTTGTGGTGGATAATATATATGCATGTGGAATATGGGCCCTCTGTCTATATGTACCTCATCCAAAAAGGCATGGGATTATGGCCACCCATTGTGACACAAGTCATACCCCATATATATATGTTTACTTAGGTGACTTGATCTTCTCTAGATACAATTGGACGGTTTGCTGTTTGTTCATCACGATTGCATGAATGATATACAAATATTATAATGAAGAAATATGTATATGTATGCACTCGTGTATATATATAGTTATTCTTTCATCGAAATGTCCGCATGTTATTATCGCACAATAATAACGTCGGAAAATTTCTCTATATATATATATATATGTTCAAAAATGACTTTCCACAAAATCATTGAGATTTTTAATAGAAACATATTTTCCTCCAATGTTAGAGCTTAACAAAGAAATTAGCTAGCTAGCTGCATTCACATTGTCCAGGCACTAAAGTATGCAATCAAATCGGAGTCATGTCACATTTGCACAAAATTACATATCAAAATCCTTATCTTGTAAATCTGATGACCACTAAATGATTCCCGTATTGATCGGCATATCCCATCACCATCCCCATTTTGTGGCTTCCAAGTCAACATTATTGCCTACCCTTTGAAATGTTGGATCGTCCCCTGCTACGTTATTTGATTATCAGTCAAAATCTGGAAACTATTTTGGCTAATCCAATCAGTTTTCAAGCATATATTAGTCCAAATTTTGGATTATCCCGTTCTAATTCTTCTCGATCCAAAACCAATTATACTAAAAAAATTGTTTAGTGATGTGTTTCGTCTGACTAATTTCTGGATTAGCAATCGACTTTTTTCCCTTCCCACAAGAGCTTAATGCTGCTTAAGCAGGTTTGAGACCCTTCCTTGTCATATTGAAGGCAACATATTTGATACTTAGCTAGCTAACTTGTCATATTATATATATATTTATTAATTAGAAGATTCATGATGACAATTAAACATCTGTTTCGAGATATGCGGTCCCTTTCTTCAGGTTGAATTTTATTTTCTGTACTTTTTTTTTCTTTTGACAAAATTTTAAAAGCAAGCATTAAATAAGCAATCTTTTTTGACAAATCGATTGAGTATACAACAAATGTTATACCATTTCATTGCCGTAATACTGTAGCATTCTATAATGATGATATAAAATCAAATTAATTTCGAAGCAATCTATGAGTTGTAAATTGTTCAGTTTTCAATTTAAATTTCCTCGTTTAGAACTTGAGATGGAGCTAGCTGGCTCTATGTTTCCACAACTTTCACTCTCATTTGCATCTGTCACATCGAAATTAAGTTCGAAATCCCTATTCAACTATTTCTCAACAAACTATAGCAAAAGCTATACATGCATACATAAACAAAAAGAATCAAGTCGACCTACCAGAACAAACATGGTAGGGTTTTGGATTTTCTTTTCCAATTTTTTTAATAATGAATTTTTAGGTCGGTGGTTAACTCATGCAGAAGACGCCTTAGCTAATTGAAGAGAGGTTTGCTTTTTAAGCCTCTAGTTCTGCATGATCGGCCATGCATTGGTTCGATCCAAGCTCTTGGGTTCATAGGGTGCCACGTTTTCTATAGGTGGGCCAATATATCATATGTGTAGGTGTAGGACACCTCTTGACCTTGCCCTTAACTGAAACCCTTATCTCTTGCTTCCAATAATTAATGAGGAGGAGGTTTCAATGTTAGAGCATCTGCCACAAATCTTCAACAGCTTTGAAATGTTAAAATAGATGAGTCATATTATCAAAACTCTCTCGAATATAATAGCTGACCAGCCTCATCAGCAATAGTTTGGGGTTAATTATTATTTTATTATTAGTTAGCTGTCATTGAGTTGCTATAAATAGCACCTTCCTCTTGTAATCATGGGAATTAAGAACATAATCTTATTCTACTTCATTTCTCTTTTATCTTTCTTCTCTG